AAAAGGTGGTATTTCAACAGTGCAAAATTTTGGGGTGAGACAGAAACATTAAAATGATAAATATTTTGGAAAGCAAAGTACACTTTAAACCCCAACTGTTCTTTCAGACCTATATTGACTCTTATAGGAGTTCCCAACATTTGGTAAGGATTAGCCCTCCATTAGACAAAAGCGAGCATTCCTTAGATAGATCAGGAGTTTTTGCCATGAGACTCATAAAACCCTTTCACAACACAGATTTTCAAGAGAATCCTTTAAGGTTTTAGGAGGCTGCTCCTTTTACTAAGTAACAAAATACACCCCATGGTGTCTCACTGACCCCACTCAGCTGTCCTTTGACCTTCTCAATTGTTGAAGCCTAACTCCAGGGTCCACAGAATGTGACTCCCATATCAAAAAGGCTAATGTTGCTTCCTCCTAGCACCTGGTGAAACAAAATGCAACAGTTCTCTTTCTTCTGCCTCCTCCGCTCCCTCTCTGACCATTTTCCAGATGTTCCAGGCCCAAATGTGAAAGCAATCCTAGGTTTCAGTATCCGTGTGGTCACCATGAAGGAACAAACAGGGACCAGGCTGAAGTGGCAATGACCCTCTTGTTCTTTTTGGCCTCAAAAGGATACAACAGGTCATAAAAGAGGAAAAGATCTTTGGCCTATCTTGGAAATGCCAGGCTATTTAAGTACATTGTAACTTCCAAAAGGAGAGAGAGAGTCTTGGGATATGACCTTTCTAAAAGAGTTACCTAAAACAGTAGCCCTAAATTCTCAATTCTACGCGAGCTTCTGATTTTCTTTAACATAGGAAGGAGGAAAAGGCAATATCACATTTCCCCCCTTTTTTAAATTAAAAAGCTTCTAAAAACAGAAAAAAAACTTTCATAAAACCTTTATAACATGTATCTCGGGATAGTGTTGAATGAGACAAATGTTAAATACACGCAGTTATTAGATATGGTTCTCTGCAGAAGTTGATAATCTAGAAATCTATTGACAATTTGAAAGATAAAATCACAATCAACAAAAGGGAATCAAAAACTAAATTCTTATTTTCTTAATTTAGGTAGATAGGAAATATAGGTGGTGTTGTAGTGAAAAAAAACTTACTGCAGAGTAAGCTTTTTGAGGGTAGAAAGAATAAGGGAGAGAAGCAAAAAGCAGGGAGGGAGGAAATGGAAGGACAGGTATTCATGGAAATATTGCTTAATCACTTTAAGGATTGAGAATAGTAGTTTTGTTTACAATCTAAATACACTTCCTAAAACAGATTTGATCTTAAAAAATTTGGGGGGGAAATCACACACAGTTGTACAATACCTTGGTTTATTTATTAACATTTTTGAATCACGTTCATGATTAAGTTGGGCAGTCAACACTTCAGGGAGTCTGTTGCCTAGATTTTAACTTGTTTAAAGCTTTTTTTGCACCTGCAAAAACATAAAAAACAAAAATATATACATAAAAACATGAGTTAATTTTCAAATTCATATTTTATAATACAGTAATATAAATATTTACAAATCTATAAAAATCACAATTAGAAATTAATTATCAAAGTCTTACACAACTCCACATGTATAAGAAGTTGTGTAATACTCTGGTAATATACAGATATCCTTCCTTCCTAAATTCTCCCAAAATAATCATTCCTAATTATATATATACTAAAAAAATAATTTCTGTGGTTTACAAGACTTCCCCCCACTAAATGTAAGTTGAGTAATTCTGTCAAATCTGCATTTATGACAGATGTCACCATAATGTCAAAGGTCACAGACTATCTGTTTTTAGGAAGTAATTAATGTAAGGGAATTTTCTAACTCAGAGGAATTTAAGAATAATATTTCCTGATACCTGGCCAAAATGCATCTACTCAAAGAACTATCAAAAATGTAAAATAACTAACATTGATTGAATAATTTCCAAGAAGAAAGTCTCCAAAAAGAAAAAAGCTACTCTTTCCTACTTTCTGAGTAGTGTATTCCTACAAGATATTAAACTAAATAATTACAACTACATTCAACCAATTTTCAATCCAATTGGTTGAAAATTATAGTGTGCATTTTCATCTCTCCTCTACATAGATGATGGCCAATACAAACTGTTGCATGGAAAAATAGGAAAACATAAAGAGAAATAAAAACTACTCATAATTTATTTTTATGCATAACTTGAGCATTTCTAGTCCTTTGTTACTGTGCCTAAAAAGGAACAAAAGAGTTTCCTAAGATCGTGCTAATTTCAATAAGAACATTTACAGTACTACAATATTTATCTTATGCTGTCTAAAAAATGTTTTTTTCATTTTACTTTCCTTTTATGCCAACTTGAAATTGAGAAAAGAACCATTTTAGATTTTGGAAAATATTTATTTTACCTCTCTTACTGTCAGAAAGTTATCTTCAGGCAAAAGAATAATTAAAATTACAAGACTCAGATTTTCAGATGCACATATTTCCCACTCACCCACCCACAAGAGACATCTTTTTCTGTCAGCAGGAGCCTTGCTACCTACATCTAAACCCAGGATTACCCCATATGGTCAACAAGGTCAAACTGCATTACTGTCAGCAAAACTATACAACTCCGCAAGGACCTTAATGATTTTTAAAAAAGGTTAGTAATCCAATTCCAATAGCTTCAGAGTCTAACATTGCTAATTTTTGGCCACGTGCTGCACACTTCACCTGTTAGTAATGACATTTTTGTATTTTCTTCTAATTACACTCAAAGCTAAGACCTTTGGCCCTGGGCCACAGACCCCTATTCAGGCTGCACATTCTCTTAAACGACCTGATCCTTTGTTGCCACTCTTACTCTTTCATCTATTATTTACACCCATAGAGAGGGAAGATACTCCACCATTTGTATAGCTTAAAGCTTCTAATCATCTTAATTTCTTTGCCTTTCAACCTATGGTCTTTTCATAGACAAATGCCAAAAAGTTTGACAAAATCATTTTTTTTCTATCTCACTGCCTCCACCCCCACTCCTTTCTCCTTTTTACTCCCTGGACAACCTCCTTCCTATTCCTTGTCTTTCATAGGAAGGACTTTGAATTACTCAGGACTTACACATTTTGACCTTCACCAACAAGATGAATTTCTGAATACAGAATCAATTCAGATCTCCAACTTATTCTGATGAATCAATAACAATTATATTTCTGTCTCTGGTCAAAGAGCCCATTGAAATTAAGTTGGAGGTTACTGAAAATTCATAACTTAAAATCTGATGCCAGTTTCCCTATAGCAAGAGCATAGAATTTTCAGGATTCTCCTACCAAAAAAAAAAACAAAAAACAACCCAAAAAGCATTCAGTAAACAAAAAAGAATATTAGTTATGACAAAAACTTTTCAAACGTTTTAATATCTACACTTGCTCAGTTGTTTACAAAAAAGAAAAAAAAAAGGAAGGAAAAACAAAGAAAAGGTAAAACAGAAAAATGTGAAGGTTAGATTTTTAATGTAATCTTCAAAACATTTTAAAAGACTACTAATTCTCCAAATAGCAAAATCCTCACATAATACATTCTATATCATTATTTCCCAACAGTTTCCCTAGATTAAAAAAAAAAGTCCAAACACATTTTGCAAAAGCCCAGAATTGTTTACCATGATGCAGATGTCTCCCTCAGATCACGATAGCCACCAAAAGATTCTGATTTCCAAGATGTTTATAAAATGACATCTGATCCATCTTCGCTCTCTCTTCCTCTATTGCTCAGCTTACTCTTGATTTCTAACAGTGTTTCCTTGTCTGTCCCCTCTGCAGACCCTGAAATCCCTTGTCTTTTCTATTTTCACCATTTGCTTCAACCAGCAGTTCACTGGAGACCCATCCATCTTGTAATGCCTAAAGTGACAGATGCTCTCAGGAACGACCACACTGCTGAGTGAACAAAAGATAACATCACCTCCAGGAACTCCAGAAAGAAATACAACTGCAACCTTAAGACAGGGGCTGACTTGACAGACATTGGACCATAAACCTCTTCTAAGCGAAAAAGAAAACAATTGCCGCACACACAAAAAAATCTGACACAATCAAAGGCAGAAAAGAGCGATTATTTGTGGATTGCCTTTTCACTCTGTAACTCACCCCCCCCACCAATGCTTTTATATTGGGGCAATTCACTCGCCAAGAGGCAAAAGAAGTTCTTGGGGGAATAAAAAAGGCTTTCTCAAGTATCTTTTATTCAACAATATTCACAGTGAAATTCATTCACATGTGTTGCAGGAAATCTAAGGCTACGATACTGCAGTCTTAAGCCTGATCCTTCTTGTTTGCATAAAGCAATATCTGGACCCTGAAATGCTGACACAATTCTACTGCTGTGAAAGACACACGCATACTCTGCAAATTAAAAACACATTAGAAATTAAAAAGCAACGTGTGACAATGTCAACAATATGTGTAGCTCATAAAAAAAAGCTCACTGTTCATTCATCAGACAACCTCCAACTCCGCTTAAAAAGACAGTTTACAAGAGGATTCTTGGAAAGGCTGCAGATCTCTTTTCTAACAAAGGAAAGGTCATATTAACATCTCCCAGCAACAAACTAATGACAGGGAAGCTGTGGATGCAGGAGACTCGGCCTGATGCTCATCTAGGGTTTTGGGACTATGTTGTTGTCATTTAAAGCCTTGTATTTAAAATCATCATACAGCAATAGGTAGTAAATATATCTCTAACAGTTAGATAGGGAACAGAAAATTTTTTCTCACTTTTTAAATTTTAAAATTGTGGGGTACAATTAATTAAGGGTTAGGTATACAAATATTCATTGTGCAGGTACTCTTGTTGATGAGGTGTGAGAAAATTTTAAAAGAACATTAAAACAAAAGCCAACCTGTAGGTTAATTAAGAATATTGCGTGATCAATGTCAGTCATGGAGATTAACAAACTGTTTTTATAATAAATATCAAGCAACACGGAGGAAAACCTCTGTGCAGCTGAATACATTATTATTCTAAAAAAGGGCAAATAATATAAATATTTATCTTACATATTTTTAAGAAGAAATGTAAGCATGTATATGATAGCATTTATTTTGTAAAAATATTTTCCTTTTTCCTAAACTTTTTGTAAACAAAGACTTTAAATTATGCTACAATCTTTTTTAAATTTTAAAATTTTAGGTTCAGGGGGTACATGTGCAGTTTTGTTACGTGGGTATATCGTGTGATAATGATGTTTGAGCTTCTATTGAACCCATTGCCCAAATAGCAAGCATAATATATGTACCTAAGAAATAATTTTTCTTTGGAGTCACTAATGACTCTTCTCATCTCCACTTTCCAAGAAATATAAAAGTAAAAGATATTTTATCTTATCTCCTATGTTTGAATTATTTGGGTGGGGTAAATGAAAACTTTTTGTTTTCATACATCAACATGGCCCTCATTTATACATTTTTATGTCTTATTTCTTCAAATAGTTCAGTGTATCTTTACAAATAGCATAACAGAATATTTTACAATCTTAGCATTTTCTGTTTTTTTTTTTTAAGGCTGGTAAAACAGAATACATACAAAATAATAAAATGAATGTATAATGCTCACAGAAAAGAGATGAAATAATTACAGAATGCTTATTATCACATAAAAGACTTGATGTTATATGGACTGAATCTTTAACTGGAAGACTTTGTAAACAAAGTCTTACACAAACTGGCCCTAAGTAATCCTCCATAACCTATTGACCAAAAGTACCACATCACTCAACACTCTCAAAACTTTGGCATTAATATCGAGAGAAGTGACCTTGAAATGACAGCTCCATTGCAGAAAGCTCAAAAAAAGACCCAATTAAAGGACCTACTTTTAAACACAATAGGATCAATATGTATGCAGAAAAACTACACCCCTGTGGAAAGTTCTTATTGCCTGATTAATCAAAAACAAAACAACAAAAACATTTTTTTTAGAGCCCCTTCCAGATCAGAGTCAGTACCAGAAATCCACACAGGAAAAAAATCCATCAAAATGAAATCCTAAAAGGGTTTACCCTTCACCATCCTATTTGCACTTCAAAACCCTGTTAGTCCTTCAGTTAAACCCCAGGGCTGAACCATTTCAATAATAAGAGAGGTGGCCAGTGGTGATTTATCTCCCATTTGGCCTCTGGACAGAGCTGTAATGTCTAGGAAGCTTCCCTTCCCTGACTCAACCCTCCCACAAGTCTCCACCTTCATTTGTGCAGTCTTGGGTCTGCAATACCTTACAAACAACTCATATGCCCCTTCCAGTAGGATGCAAGAACAGTCTGTAACTCAGTATTTTGGTACAAATTTTTGGCAATGATTTCACAAAATTGCATGCTGCTGAGTAATCAGAGCATTGCAAATACCAGCTTACATTTCAGGTTC